TGTTTTCTTATTTGTAATTCAGCCAGTGTAAGTAATAACTAGCCAAAGACATGTTATTGTAAATTCTGCCATAGGAATCAGCATGATCAGTAATAGAATACATGTTTCAATGTGGGGGGACGGTGGTGAGGGGAGGTGGAGAAGGGTATAGGGGTATAAATGGTGATGGACAGAGACTTGACAGTGTACAGATAATGTGTTGTAGAATTGTGCATCTGAAACCTGTATAATTTTGTTAACCAGTGTCACCCCAATAAATTCAATAAATAGGAAAAAATACTCATATTGAATACCCATAACCTTCCAGAATCTCATGAGTGCTACGAAGGATTTCCTCAGAATAAGACCATGAAGTGAAATTCTTACTCCATATTCTCCTCAATAGTTTTAATGTGTACTGGGAAAACATTTATTATTGTCAAATATGAAAGATTATAATGACAAAATAAAACTGTAATAATATACACTATAATTAAAATATGAGTTTGTGGTAAGTAAACATTGGAGAGTGAAAAGGAGAAAATAATGTAAGCAGGAGTAATCTCTGCATACATTTAAATGTGTGTGGTGGGGGAGGGGTGGGGTTGTGGGTGTGTGACTTTCCCTTCTCTTTCTGGAAACTGTTTTGTTTCCCGTAGAGAACGAACTATACTCATGCAGTAAGATCTTTGCTCTACACAACTCACACTATTTTCAATAAACATTGACTAAAAGTCACATCATGGTTTTAAATTAAAGCAATAACTTACCCTATTGTCAATAAGAAGTAATTCAGTGAAAATTTATGCTCCAATGTTACATTTGGAAATGGGTGATGTGGGACAAGTACCCTTCAGAATGTTTCTTCCTAAGCATGTCCAGGGTTATTATTTTAATCTATAACCTAATTATATGATAAATGAAATAAAGACATATGAGATTCCTAACCTCAATAAAAACTTTTTGAGGTTAATGATCATGATAAACATTTTGGAAAGACCTAAAGCACACCAATCTCTTCTTTTTGTACCATCTACATTGTACCTTACTCAAGACAATAATCTCTTTCTCCCAGAGGGTGCACTGTGGTTTTTATAACCCTTCATATCTACTATCACCATTCTTCTCCAAACCTTGTGAGATCAGCAAATTCTCTATGACAGACATTATGACCTACATGTCTGAGAGATGATAAACTGTGCCTTAAATGCATTATTCTTTCCCTCTAAAGCTTAATATAAATATTAACAGTGACATCTGAATATAACAAAGCCTATGACATCATTTTGGTGAATCCTATTTTTATATAGAAATGAAGAGATTAAAATTATTGTATTTTTTTCCTCATACAACAGATTTTCTATTAATTCTTCATTAGTCCAAAGTGCCAGCACTCCAGGGAGAATGAAAATTCAGGAAAAAAAATCAAAGGTATTAATAATTTGGTGGGAACCACTAAAATAATTTTTCTTCCCAAGTATATTTACAAGTATCCAATCTGCTTTCTCAGGTTTGCAAGCTACTCCTTAAATGGAAGTGGGACATATTTAGAAACTACAGGCCGTAGGGGATTCTTTGATACTGAGGCAAATTAATGGGATTAATGGGTATGAGAGAGCTAATGAAATTGGTCAGGCTAATTCAGGCATGACAAAATTCAATTCATTGAGGAAAAGGAAGATAGACGATAGCAAATTGGAGTACTCAATTGAGCTCCAGAAGGGCATACTTTTTAAATCTAAAAATGTTTAAAGAAATAAGAAAATACAACAAATGAAAGTCATTCTTTTGAAGAATAAAAATTACACTTGTTTTAATAGCAGTTTAAATTCAGGGCAATTTTGATCCCCTTAACCCCCTCCAGAGCACATTAGGAACGTCTGGAGGCAGTTTGGTTGTGACAACTGGGAGTAATGCTATGTGCTACTCACACCTGTGGGGAGAGCCAGGGATGCCCCTATATACTGCACTGCACAGTACAGTTACCTCAGCACAGAATTATTTGATTCAAAATGTCAGTAGTGCCAAGGTTAAGAAACCCTACATTAGATGAATACATCTTCCTTTTTTAGTATCAGTAAAAAAAAAATCAAATTCTTCTATCATTATTTATTATGAAAAGTATGTACTCTAATATGTCTACCCCAGGACTTTAATATACCCCTTGACACTTTGTGAGTGGTGGCATTGTATCATGTATAATTTGCCACTTTACCATGAGAAATCATTTGATAAAAATCCATTAATTATCTAGCACCCAAATAGGGGAAAAGAGTTATGTGTTAGGCAAATATATTGAGGTATGCATTTTACCAGTATGAGCTCTAAGAAGACTTCATAGTGGGTTGGAAAAGTGAGCATCCCTTATTAGCTGCCTCCACAATCAGCACATTTCAGTCTAATTTGTTAGTAAAGAGACAAAATAGTGCTTTAACATCCTACAATATTGCATCCACTCATAAGGGGATTAAATTATTTCAAAAAATGTCACATAGGGGGTTATGGTGGGATAAGGACATATATGTAATACCTTAATCAATAAAGAAATTTTTAAAAAATTAAATTTTTTTAAAAGGCCACATATATAATCAGGTTATATATCTATATCTATCTATATCTATATCTATATCTAAATCTATATCTATATGTGAGTGTGTGTGTGTGTGTGTGAATATATATATATTTTCCCAGGGTTCTTGCACACATTTGTATTTTATTCTTCATCATGTGAATACACATTATAAGGGGTCCCAAATACAAATCCTTCTTTCCTGAAAATTATTTTTCCATTGTACATGAACTCAATATCTGCTCTTTCCAAAGCTAAGGTTGTTCTCTCCCAAAGGAGGACTGTAGTAGAGCTTTGCATTGTTGTTTACCACTTTTACAGTCCCTTTGTGATAGAAACTGCCCTGTCTACAGCCCTTGCTGGTTGAGCAAGGCCAAGTTCTATATCATTTAATATTGTCCCCATCCACCTTGAAAATGGAGAGTAGATATCTTGCTTAAGAGCACTTGATCCACAGGCAGGCAATAAACTTGTGCCTGGCTCAAAAAGATGAGACGGATCAATCAGAGTCCTCTCCCAGAAATTTGCTATTGGATAAAGGATCTGAGACAATAGATGTATGACCCACGTGCAAATGTCATGATATTAACTAGGGCTGCACTGCTATTATGAGGTTTGGAGATGGGAGAGATTATGAATGAAAAGAAGAAGCCAGCCTACAAAGGA